AACTTAATTTACAGTGGAACCTGTAAAAAAAAATTTGCCCTCCCACTGTTGTTCCTTAATGAAAAACATTTGAATGTTTAAAAAGTAACACTTTTTTTCCTTATTTTAAAAAACTGCCTCTGATATTCAGACTCTTCGGTTTTACCACACTTTGTTATAGTGAGTTTAACTGAAGAAGTACCTTTCTATTGAAATGTGTTCTATTGCATCTTTTTTTCTTAACAACTTTCAAAGCACATTAAATGTTTATAAAGGTGTTTTAAAATTTTAAGTGTTATAATTTCATGCTTTTCCAACATAGCCTGAAAAGAAAGTTACGACTTTTTAAATCATTTTTTGTACTAGTATACTTTGATAATTTATTTTTATGTTGTCCATAATGGTTCATATGACTTAATGGGAAATACGTAAGAAGTAAAAACCCTCAAAAAGAAAAATTTCTTTTGAACACTGAGAACTGACACAGAACTGGGGGGAGGGGAGGCAAACAAAATGAGACTTAGCTGTAGTTACTTAACTGTTCTTTTTTGATTATTTGTAGTAATAACACCCTCATACTCTTCTAAATAAGGTTTGAAGAATTAAAACATAATTAAAAAATATTTTCCAAGTAGAAAAGTAATACTACAAAGTGTTCATTCTAGAGAAGCTGGAAATTTTGAAAAATTATAAAGAATTACCTAATCTTATATTCTAAAGGTTGGCTGTCTACACATTTTAAAAATTTACTTACCTATTTATTTACAGATACATTTTCAAAATAAATTTGAAATCACACTGTTGATATATTTTGTTGTTTATTGTACTTAATGCACTTTCTGTATTATTAAAATCCTTCAAAGCCAGTTAACTATATGAATATATATTAATTAATGTAACATTTTCCCTAATATTGGACATTTAGGCCATTTATGCATTTTTACTCTTAGAAAATCATTTTGTTATGAGCATTGTCTTATATAAATCATTATCTTCACACTAGATCATTTCATTTACACAGATTTAAAATTTTATGGGTCAAAGAGTAAAATAGTCTAATAATTACTAAGTCAACAGAGACCATTGGATGATTGGTATTCAGGTACCTAAAAATTCCTTGGAGTAGAATTTTTCATTGATAGATCTTAAGCTTCTCTTTGGTGTCATTTCTTTCCACCACAGTTGAGAAAGATAGTTTAAAATTTTCCTCTTTATATATAAAATTTACTATGTCCCTACTACTTAATCTATATAATATGACCAATTTTGCTTAATTACCCATTGTGAGGAAGTGAAGGATTGTGGGATGAGCTCTGAATTGGGAGCTAAGAGATTTGGGACCAACTAGCTAACTAGTGTGAACATGAGAAAATTCTGTGACATTTCTGGTTCTTTCAGATTTAAAAAGCTGCCAGTAACAATGGCAGTTGCAAGCAGTAAGGTAAAATAGATAATATTTGTTACGTGAAATATTTTAACTTAGTCACATCTTACTCAATGCTGAATTGAACATTTTTATATCTTAATCAGAGTTTTCCTCTGTCATGTCTGATAACTTTTTTTTCATTTCAGGAAGTAGAAACAGAGCAATACTTCACTCTCTTTCTGCCAGCATTGAAGGAGCGTGGATATGATGGATTTTTTTCTCCAAAGTCACGTGCCAAAATCATGTCTGAGCAGGAGAGAAAGCATGTGGACGGTTGTGCAATATTCTTCAAAACAGAAAAGTGAGTTAAGGAAACAGCATAATAGTTTAAACTAATTTTTTTAATTGTCACATATTTGAGATTATCTTTCGTTTAACCCTGTAATAATAAACAAAAAGCTAGAAAGCAAGTGCTATAAAAATTAAAACTATTGGTAATGTTTTACTTCTTGTGTTATGTATTAGAAATAAGAGTGCTTACTTTATTATTCCTTATGCTTCTATTGCCAAAAGACACTAAAAATATTTAAGAGATATATATATTTGAATATGGCATTATAATCACATTTCCAAATATGTTTTTGTGAAGTAAAACATTAGTTCAGGTGCATGAAAAGAAAGTAGTACTTTTTAAGGGTAGAAGTAAATGATGACAATATAAGTTGGTCACAGGGACAGTACAGCATGGAGATTCTGTAACATCTTTATATGTTGATAGATAGTAAACTGCACTAGAAGGGGTGAGCATTTAATAATATGAGTAACTGTTGAACCACTGTTACACATGTGAAGCCAATGTAAGATTGTATATCAATGATACTTAAGTAAAAAAAAAGATGTATACCATCAAAAAATAAAAAAGTGATCATAGCCTCTTCCTGTGATTTTTTTTTGATAGTTGGCCTTTTCCAGAATCATTCATCAGCCTTTTTGTCTTTTTCAATTACATTTCACGCATTTATTTAATCATTTATTCACTAAAAGTTTACTGAGCATTTACTTTGTGACAAGTGCTGTGCTAGTTACAGTAGACACAGGGTTTCTAATCCCACCCAGAGCTCAAGTCTAGTAGGAAAAGGTAGTTGTTTCAGAAAATCACAGTATAATATCATATATATAAGATAGATAAAGGAAGGTAGAAGAGAGACCCAGAGCTTATGGAGGTGGGGATTTAAGGGAATGATGGAGAAAGGATAATGGAAAGGACATTATCAAAACATACAGAAAACATGACCTGTGTTTTTTCAGGGCTGTTAATGTAGTTGATTAAAGTACAAAGATGAGAACATTTTGAATCTGCTTATTAAAATGCATGAATGATTTTGTAGAAGTCTCTGTATTTTAATATTTTTGAGTTTAAAAATGGAAAACAGTACCTGTTCAGCCTGCTTAACCCAGAGGAAGTTATGAAAGTTCAATGAGGTAATGGATGGGTAGGTACTTTGTAAACCATTCAGTGACCTGGAACTATTTTTATTATCATCTTACTTCTCTGTTTCTGTAGTCCTTGATAATTTTAGTATTTCTCCACTACTGGGTTTATTATGTTGTGTGCTTTGGATTTTGGAATTGCATTGCCTGCTTGAGGGTGCAGAGCAGCAGCCTTCCACATGCTCAGAATGCTCTCTCTTTGAGTGTTGGCTGAGTGACTACATGGTTAGAAACAGATTCTTTTGGTTATATTGAGGAAAAGAGGAAAGCATATTTTTGCCTTATAAAAGCTGCCAATTATAGAGTGGAAAATTTGAAGGAATCTGCAATAGAGGACTGAAATGTGTGAAGTCTGATAGAGGTTGAATCCCATGGTTAATGATTTGGATTTGATACATTGGTAGGGAATCATCTACTTACTGGATAAGCATATATATACTTGTGACTATTTTCCAGTATTTCCCTGTTTAATTCCTAGTATAACAAAGCCAGTTAAATGCTTTTATTGATACAGGCATATTACCATCATGACATGTTATTTTAAGTAAACGGATTAAGCGAATTTGAAAGATCCTTGACCCACTTCTTTTCATTTATTTGTATGTATTTTCCTGTCTTTTTTGTGAATTTTTAGTAGAGATAGTTTCAATGTGGTTAATAATTACTGCACAGCTCTGTGGTATTTGATATCAGAAAATACTAAATTCTCCTAGTGGGTTGGTGATTTTTAAAAAAATGAATTTTAGAATAACAATAGCTATTAATTTCATAGTGTTTACATGTCAAACCTTTTACCTGTACAGATTATCTTATTTAATTTTTAAAGCAATCCTGAGAGGTGGAAATAGAGCAATTCCCTCCTAATAGATGAGGAAGGCACAGAGTAGTCTGGCCTCTTAGTCAATGCTTTAATCACTGCGATAAACTGAATTTTTAGTCTTGTTTGAGCTTCCAATATTATTTGTACCCTTTTATAAGGTTATCTCATTTGGGGAAATTGCCTTGAACTTGATATTTGTTATCTCTAAGTTCATATATAAATTTCCTTAGGTACCATGTGTGAAGTATCATAATTTAAAAAACCATATTGATAACATTGAGACATCTAACATCTAGCTCTTTTCCTATTTACTATTGTTTATTTCTGAAGGAAGATAATATAGAAAATTTTTATCATTCCCATCATAGTTTTGAGAGGAAAATCTAAATTCACTGGAGATAGGTAAGATTTTGAACTACCAATTAGTTGTCCAGGAAAATTTAAGTAACTGAGTATTCGAAAACTAATGCTTGAATTATTAACAGTGCTGTGAATTTGTTAAAGGCATGAACACATAGGAAATAAGTAGGTGTGTCATTTGGTTTTGTTCTCTTCCTCAACTCTTGTTGCCTAACGTGGACTCAGCAATAAGATGAAGACTTTGAATGTGTTGATTACATTCTGCCTCTTATGAACTATACCAAATACTTGTATTAGCTAACTCTCCAAAGCCAAACCATTTGGAATTTAACACAAGGTACACTACCCTGTCTTAATTCTATTTTTTCCTCATATTGGAGAGAGAATACAGTGCAAAGAAAAGACAATTTTGAAGCCAGGTGGTTCTCCATTTATGTAGCTGTGCAATCTTGATTGAGTCTCATGCTTTCTGGGCTTATTTCCTTATATATATAATTTGTATATTGTGAGATAACTTCTTTTATAGTTAACAAAACTAACAAAGTCAAAGATAGCTGTAGAAAAGTACCTAAACTCTGTACTCATTCTCAAAGTCTCATTTTTTGAAAACCAGAGTATCTGGTAATTCCTAATTTTCATTAATGGCAGTTTTTTTCCCTTCTTGGAAAACAGTGGTACAGCATAGGTAACAGCAAATGGAAACTATAATAATTACTCTTTTTATCAAAATACTATATAAAAATCTCTTACTGTGATCAAAGAATAGGATACTGTTTAGTAAAGGCTAGGATACAGATTAACAATATTCAAAGAACTGGAATAGGATAAGATATTCCTTTTATCATATTTATGCTAGTTTAATCTTTGGGGATTCATAAGGCACTTTGAGATTTGGCAGCACCATTTGGTCATTATGAACATCACTTTTTGGGTAGTTAGATGCAGAGATACCAGAAAATAGAATTTGCAGTTGATAAAGTGCCAGAAATCAGCTTATGAACATCACTTTTTGGGTAGTTAGATGCAGAGATACCAGAAAATAGAATTTGCAGTTGATAAAGTGCCAGAAATCAGCTTCTGCTTTGTCCTGTATCTCAATAAGTATTATCTTTAGTTCAAAATATTTTTTAAAATGCATATGTATATATATATACATATATGTATTTATTTTGTATAGACAGTATGGAGAAACTGTTTTTTATGTATGGAGAAACAGATAAGTTTTTTAGACTCAGAAATTTAAATTTCTTTTTCCATTGTTGACTTACGTAGAAATGGGGTCTTGAGGCCAGATACACATTTAAAGAGATCCAAAATGGAGAGAAATGGATATGAACCAGAACTAGATACTACACTTACTTGTTATTCCTGAGGTTTGCAGTTCTGATCTTATCATGCTCTGTTTCAAATCCATGAGAAAGGGAAAGAACAACAGTGTGACCATCACACTGTGATGAGGCCATTTCCTTCAGTAGAATCGGAAACTAGGCTATCCTGGTACTGAATCCTCACTGTTTTGCTTCTGCTTTCAATCCTGCTTCTAGTCTCAGAGGTACCAGGAAAGGCCAAGTCCTTGCTTTTTCTTCGTATGTTATTACAGGTAGTTTTGTGCTTGAGAAGAGGGCATGCAGAGGTTTCAGTGTCATTCCAAAGTGACCTATTGTGGTAATCCTATCCTATATTTTGTTACTGGTGTCAGTTACTAATTTCCTCTCTTGTGGGTGGTGCTTGCAATTAGAATTTGTCTACCTGATTTTTTAAAAAGACTGATTTTTGGTTTCTATCTGATGTTAACTTTCCCATTTACTTTATCTGGAACATAAAATTACTGCTTTGTGCCAATTTCCTTTCCATTCCATTATGAATAATAATAGCTGTTTCACCTAACTTCAGAGGTTTCTTATGACGCTAACTTGATAAGAATGTGTAAGTGCTTTCAGAAGTTAAGAGTTGTACAAATACAGTAGGATAGCATATATCCACTTTTCTTCCCTATTTATCCCAGTCCCTAAGCTTACCTTTGTTAGTAAATTATTTCCTGGCATTCCCATGATTATTTAAATGCACCCAAGGACACATTTTATAGCATCTTACACCAAATGTACAATAAAAACTTCTGTTTGGTTTAAGTTTAGGAGTGCTGGGATGTGATCCAGAAAGTGGCATTGTTAACTTTTGTGTGATTATATTCTCATCTTGACTATGTACTGCATTGTTCCTTTTGGTTCATAAACAAACTCAGGGAGAAAAATACTACTTAAGTTATAGACTGTTTTGCTTGCTTAAGTTGACATTCACTCTCTCTACTGTTAATTCAATCACATCAAAGTCCATAAAATTACTTCTAGATTACAAGTTAGTAAGAAATTTACTTATTTTTTGTTCTGTTTGAAGGGCTGTTTTGTACATGTTCTTCTCTATGTGAAGCATTCAATCTAATCTTTCTCAAATCACGTAAGAAGGGTGGGGTCCTTGTTTGTTTTTTGGTCATGTTAGTATGGATTATATATGGTCTCTTATACCCATTTAACCTTCTATGAAGTAGTCTTTTTACAAAGGTGATTATGCAGAAGAATTCTTCACACTAAGATAAAAAATAGAGCATCTGTTTGGTAGCTACAACTTAGGGCTAATAAAATGAAATAGAGAAGCAAATCTAATAAAATTGTACATATTATTAGCAAGTCTTG